TTGGGATTAGTCGGCTAACGGCTCGTCTTTGTGTACGTTTTACCTCTAGCTCAAAAAGTAGAGTGGTTAAAGGTCAAGACGTACGCAAACCTAACTCTAAGCTCTACCTCAAATAGTAGAACATTTAAAAAAAAAATGCACGTAAACTTGACCTCTAACTCAAAGAGTAGAGCAGTTAAGAGATAWKATATAWAWAAACCTGATCTCTACCTCAAAGAKTAAAAGATRCKTATCCATGTACCTTTCTAACTTTTCTATATCTCATGTCAATAAATATACCTAGAAACTCAGAACTCATCTTTGTTCATGATTTCATAGCTTTTTSATAAAAGAGTACATGATAAATAGTATACATTTGTACATCATAATGCCCTCTGAATCAAGTCCAACTGCTTTGGCATATAAATCTCCTCTTAAATACACCTACACACCTAGGGTTGCACAAAAACCCGATCAACTCGGCCAACCCAACCCGAAGCCACCCRACCAACTCGACCCACCCGACACCTATCTCTGTTTCTAGAATGAAWCCAAACTGGATCAGAAATTGTTACCTGCTGATTTAGGCTTCTTATTAAAACAAAATCTATATTAAAAAACCCAATTAAAATGTCAAAAGAAACTTCAAGATTTGAGTCTTTTTGTCACCATAAAACTTAAAACCTTACAGCCCATATAGAAAGCAAGCAGGGTGTTTTGTCCATATTGTGACGATATCGATTTTACTCCTTGACTTTTGCGCGTTTTGAGGGTTGAGAGCCACACGAGTCATCTTCTGATGGTCGATGAACCACTGGGTTGGGTCCTGGTCCATTGGGGTCAGCCTGTGAGGATGCCGGTTCGGTTCTTGTAGGAGAATTTGGGGTTTCGTTGGTTAAGTCCATGGTGGAYGATGAGGGCTTGAGTTTATCGATTCCTGATTTGCATTGCTTTTCGAACATCATCTGGAGGTATCTGCCTTGTTCTTCGATTCTCAGCTGTAAGTTTCTTTGGATCTGCAAGAGAAGCATGATCGTTAAATAATCGATAATTTTCMACAATTGTARAACGAACCGGATTTTCAGAAGGGGYAAAATGAACCAAAACACAACAAAGTTTGGTTTATTTCTTATTCGGTATAATAAATTTATTTTACGTAACCATAACAAAGTTACAAAATTTCCTATTTTTTTACCCATTTTGAACCTGGTGAAACGGTGYCGCACTAAATAGGAAATAAACCAAACTACTGGGAGGTTCACATAAGAAAGGCTAAATATCGTGAGAATGTTAAAAAAGAAAAGTTCATATATGAATCAATGAAAAAATGCATTTGAAAATGCATACGAACCCACATAAWWAATCTATAACATCRATTCACATATGCATCTTGAAATAGATTTTTTTCGGATKTTTCAATGATTCACATATGAACCTATCCTTAACCTTCCTTCTTACTCTCGGACGATATTTAGCCTTCTAATTTGAACCAGCCCCAACCAAACTACGTGAATACAAAATAGGAAATTTTCAAAGTTTTTATCAAATAGGAATTTTTGGAACTTTCTATCATCGATCGAGAAAAAAAAATTCTTCATTACACTAAATAGGAACTAAGGAAAACTTTGTTATATTTTGATGTATTTTGCCCTTCTGAAATTAGGAGGCATCATAATGTAAATTATACCTCAAGTTGTTCATGTAGTCTCTTCTGAACTTCCATCTGTAATCGTAATGCTTCGGTGATCTCCAAACCCCTGTTAACATGCAAAAACAGATAATCAACAATTGTCAAATCATCTTCAATCTCTTCCCACCGTATAAATGAGACACAAAGAATAAACAAAACCAAACAGATCCAGAAAACGCCACTTGAAAGTAGGGTAATGKGTTTAAGATGTACATAGGCCTGACCTCAACCCCAAAGGGAATAGCCCAGTAGTACCCAGGTTACTAGTAGTGTATGCTAACATAATACAAACATAAGTTRAATCAAGTTAAGATGAAATATAATCGATCCTACTTACGTTTTCAGCTCCAACGATGAGAAATCTTCAACGGTAGTTTTTCTCTCTGAAGGTCCTGCAATGAGTGGACAAATCACTTTAATTGATAACCCATCTTCAAATAATTGTAGCTTCTAAGATACAGCCAAGATAGGTGCAATAACATGCAMAGAGACTTGTATATGTCTTAAGTGCACTACGGGGCTGTTTGGTTRGTTTTCCATCAAGTCCTGTATGGATAAGTTGTCTGTATAGATAGGGCATGTTTTTGTTTGGGAGAGTTTTTTCATAAACGGAATGAGCATGTTTTTCAATTGGGAAGGGCAGTTTGGGAAAAAACTTGGCTTTCTGCACAACCCCCCCCCCCTTCCACCCTAGAAGCTTACGGAATAAGCCACTTTCTATCTTATTAAGCCACTACCAAACAGTCATATATAGCTTACTGAATAAGCTGTGAGTCCCATTAAACTGCTAACRAATAGACCMTACAAGCACTTTAAGCTTTTCTGAAGACTGAATGGGTAAATTATCTTGTCAATTGAAAGTGTGAGAATATGTGGAACCTTGAGATTTATCCTCCAAAAGAGCCRTTGAGGAGAGAAGTGAGGTTCCAATATATATAGAGAAAAAATGGTCCAAGTGTAGCTGATGTGGACTCTAACACGCCCCCTCCAACGGGCTAGACAGGCACAAATTGTCCCAGAGTGTTGAGAGGGGGCGAGAGGGGTAGACAAGTACAGTTTGTCCCAGAGTGTCAAGGAAACCCTATTAGATCACTCGCCAAAACAGCCCTTGAAGAAAGTTGGGAGGTTCCAACATGCATAGTGGAAAAAATGGTCCAAATCTARTCGATGTGTGACTAACAGAAAGCATTATAGTGAGTAACTAAACTTCTAGTCCAGAAGTCGACTTAGGGGTCGTTTACAATACAAATTGGGTAAGCGTTAACTAGGTAAGAGTGTGGTCTGGTTCAGCACTAATCACTGACCGAGTAAGAGTCCCTCCCTTAGCTTACCAAGTCAGCATCTCGGTCAGGTAAGAGGGGCTTGGTAAACAGCAACATCCTTAACCAGGTACGAGGTAGTAAATCTTAATTAAATTAACAGTCAAATTCATCTTTCTCCTATCYGCAAACYGGATTGATACTAGTTTCACATCTGATTTATCTTTTGGAGCCTATATGTGGGGGGTTGGGTTCTCGTGAGACCAGCATATTTTCGWGAGATTTGTGAGACCACAAAATAACACTGAACCTTCATAGCAGAACACCGTGAGTCCGTGAAGGTACAAAAAACACTGTGACGTGCAGATTCAGTGTTATTTTGTGGTCCCACGAAGATAGGTTGGTCTCACATGATCCCAGGYCTATAAGTGGGTCCAAAGGTGGATTTCTGTTTTACCTTCTGCTGATGGCTCCGGTTTATATCTAGCCGTCCGATATTTCTGCAAAACGAGATAAATTCCATATTAAATATAGAAGCAMATTCATTTTACTTTTGTAACTTGCATCAACTGAGAAGTACCATAAATGCACCTGTAGGTGACTTTTTACATGGTAGATGGTTAAGCCTTCAACCTTCATTTGCTTCARTACTCCCTTCGGGGTAGCTCCTATAGATACAAATATAATGATTTAAAAAGTTATTATTGTGATTATTTGAGCAAAAGATTGAYTACCGGCGACCCAAAGCSGGCSCACAAGGAACCCACCCACAGGAACCACAAGAGGCATTTCAGAGTTGACTCTGCGGCTGAGGCTAACGGAGGGGTTCAAGCCCGTCTCCCGCAGGATTCGAACTTGAACCTGTTGTGTATTTGAGCAAAGTCACTCCGCCCCTTTGCCAACTGAGTTATACGCCCGAGGGCAATATTATTGTGATCATATCTAAAGAAAACAGATAGYGCGAGAAACACTGAAGTTAAAATGATTACTTTCGCTTCCCCCAAGCTTGTTGACTGCCTCCACAAAGGCTTCGTGAAGTTCTGGAGTCCAACGCATTCGTGGTTTGGATTGAGGGCCATTCCCACAAGGTGATGGGGTCATTGTATTGCAAGCTTCTTCRGATGATGGAGGAACAATTAGTTGTTGTACTTGCATCGAGTTTGTCGATGATCCCCCRACATGATATGCCATCTAAAGTGAAATATAATGAACATGATTAACGGTTGTTGACGAGGGTGGGTTCAAATGAGAACTGTAAATATTATGAGAGTCCGGGAACCAAGTGTTTCATGTATTATTCATGATGAATAACCCATAATAATGAAAATTACTAATGATGAATGTCGTGATAGGTATTCATCACAAAAACTATTCATGATAAAAATAATACATGATTTAATGATAAAAATAATACATGATTTAATGATAAAAATGCATGATATCATGATAAAATCGCATCATATCATGATAAAACCGCATCATATCATGAATAATGAAAACACATGATATCATGAATAATGAAAATCCATGATATTTCAGGAGTATTAATCAGGAATAACTCATGAAAAGTTGGTTCTCGGATACTCGAAATATTTACGGTTCTCATTTGGACCGGGATGTTAAAAAACCACATGATATTCATGATAAAAACGCATGATATCATGATAAAAATGCATCATATCATGAATAATTGAAATGCATGATACTCATGAGGAAAAAATTTATGATTATTCAGCAGTATTCATCATGAATAACTCGTGAATAGTTGGTTCCTCGGTTCCCAAAATATTTACGGTTCCCATTTGAACCTACCCCTTGTTGACGGAATGACATAACTTTAAATGAGCAACAAACCAAGAACCCTAAGTAATGTAGGTTTTGAGATCTTTCCTATAAAGAAGTCATGTCATATGTAGGCTGTAGCTATACTTATACAACCCCATTCACATGTGCATTACATACRATACAATTCACAAGATTTTGTTGTTACTGTAGGAACATTGTGGGATTGCACAAGTATATTTTTCAATGTTCATTTAGTTGAAAGAAATCTCAAAATGTACATAACTCGCATCCTTTTTCGCATTTAATATCATAAGAAATCATATACAATGAATAAAAGTTCAGTATACCTTTGGCTCTGGATCAGCAATACCGGTATCAATTAGAATCTCATTCCAATCGGGGGTCATAGCATCATCATCGGTAATTAGCTGGTCAGCCCAATCTTGCCAATCATTTTGTTTACCAAGATCCTCGGATGGCATAATACATGTAGCACTTTGGCTGTGTTCTAAATTGCTAGAAGGGATTGGGGTATTTTGAGGGTAATCAAGAAAATCCGGCAATGAATCTGTACACCATGAACTATTGTTGTTTTCTTTCATATACTGGCTCGATGCCGTAGATTGAAGAATTCCCGAGGACTGAGATATAAAAGGCGTCCTTTCTGAATGCGTTTCTTGAGAAGAAAATTGAAGATCCRAAGACATTCCAGAAGCCGAAGAAAACATGTGACCAACGGCTCTGCTAGTTGAGGATAATGAAGGAAGAGCAGTGAAATTTTGTGGCATAAATTCCCTTCCCATGGACATTTGTTGAGATTCCGGAAACTTTGGATATTTCTCTTCCAAAGTGACGGGACGTACCGGCAAAGGGGATGATCGAGCGCCAGGAGCTCCATGGTTACTAAGTTGTCTTGCACCTGATCTTTGAAAGGATAAAGCCGGTTGTGCCTCCATGGTTATAATAGGTAACTAKAAATGATTTACAAGCCAGCTCAGCATAAATTATCGGCTTTTGCAGTTCCGTCCTATAAATCATGTGAGCATCAGAATAAACAGGATGACAAACTGTATTCTCTACTTAGGGACAGTTTATGAATCATAAATTGGGTAAGTGTTTACTGTGCAAGTATAAGATCCCACATTGAATGGGAGGGGAACAAAGGTAGCCTTTTAAGGAACTGGACGCCTCCTCAATCAGAAGCGTATTAAAACCGTGATCCAGGTGTGGACAAAACGGACAATATCTGGTACGGTTAGCCTTGGATGTTACCRTAAGAGTCATCATGCTCACTTCCCTTACGGGATAAGATTCACGGTCATCAAAATAGCAYAATATAAGCGTCTCTTACCCAGTAAGTATTAACTGGGTAAGAGACACCACCTCGCTTACTGGGTGAGAATTGAGATTCTCAAGCAGGAAAATGGTAAAGTAAGATTGTTGGTAAAGACCATCATCTCTGACCACGTAAGCATCTCTCACTCAGTAGATGGAGAGGTAAGTTTCTTTTCTAACATTTATTGATACACCAAAGGGTCATTGACCCAGCATAACCCAGCGATAGAGTCCAGCCTCCCAAAAGGTCGAACGTTCAAACCATGAGTATTTCTTGTATATAAATATTACATATTTCAAAAAGAACATTTATTGATACTCCTAGTGTCATCAAGCAATGTCCACTATTTGTCCATCCAACTATCTTATGATAATTTACCCTTATAAACATTGTAAGAGTTTGAAATTTTGAAGTTCATGATGAACGTTAATATCTGCATGAATAAAATTGTTAAAACAATGGCTATTAGGGATGCCTACTGAATTGGTGTGTGTGCTTATTGGAGAATTTTGTATACATTACCGTGATTAAACTTTTTGTTTTATAAYTGATGTAGAAATCTATATGATACTTTGTTGTTTGTATGACTCTGTCGTTAACCCATGTGATGGCATTCGGTTGAACTAAAAAAGGAAGATTCATCAATATTTGTACCTACAACATGTTATTTGGTTGGGGATACATACCATTTATGATAATCTACCCTTATATGTAAAAGTCATCATCTCCTAAATAGTCCCTATTCTATRAATCCCCAATGAAGGGCCTGTAACATCTTCAATTTGATCATAATATAGCTTGTACAAGTTGTACTACATGTCATGATCTTCCTAATTTCCAAGGAATGTAAGAGCATCTCCAATAGCTACACTGTTTTAGAAATTTTGGAGATTTGGGAAAATTTTGCCCCAACAGCTATGCTAAACTCTTCRTCTAAAATAGAAAAAAAGAAGAAAAAAAAGGGGAAAGAACGAAGAAATCTCCAAATTTAGAATAAGGGAAAAAAATAAAGCATACCTGTTGGAGATGCTCTAAACCCTCCATCAAAGAAACCTCTGGACTGCTCAACGACCTAAAGTCTACAGGAGAAATATTATTTTCTAAGTAAAACCCTAGATTTMTGTTTCTCAAACAAGACCAATTGGTTTTATCAACTTCCTCCTACTAAGTACTTAGCACTGTAGGTTGAATTTTGATGAATCTTCATTTGTTTAGTTCATCCCAATGCCATTATATGAATTAACAACAGAATCATACAAACAGCAAAGAATAAATTGCTACATCATATAGAAAACAACGAAGATGAATCATGGAAATGTATTAAAAAAAACCTYCAACAAACATATACACCAAATTCAGTAAGCATCATAAGATCCCCAATATCCATTTTTTTAACAATTTAATCCATGCAACTTATCAAATCCATCATGAACTTCAATTTTCAAACTCTTGCAACATATAATAATACATCAGGAATATTCAAACAAAAATCAAAATTATAAGCATGAGTAAAGCAGAAAAAACCCTCACCTTAAACCATCGGAACGAAAAGCTTGTTGAAAACCTACACGGGTGCCAGAAAAAAGGAACGATTTAAAAGGCCGGAAAACCTAGAGGATCAAACGCCGTGTGGTGTCGGAAACTCATGTACGAGTGTCTGTCGTGTTGGTTTGCTCACCGGCGTCTCGTGGATACGAAATCGAAATCGAAATCGAAATCGAAGGATGACGAGTACTCGGCTTCTTGTGCAATTTGGCCTTTGCTTTCTGCGAGCAGCGGCCAGAAAAGGGGAGGTAGAAAATCTCACTCGCACGTGGTGGCGCGTGCCCTATCGKCAAAAGAATATATTAGACCTTATCCGATGCATATTTTTCGAATACAAATCAAGCTCGTTGTTATAATATCCCCCAACATATTTTATGCGTGCAATGCATTGAGACACATTTTGATTTTAGTGTTTTGTTTTATTTCGTTTTTATGTCGATATAATATGTTTTTATGTGCTTTTAAAAAAACGATAATGTTTTTATTTTTGAATAAAATATAAATCTAAAAATATCATTAAAAAATTTTAAAAAATATCTATATCAGTATCAAATTAATCTTTTTTAAAAGTTCTTGTATTTTGCTGTAATTTTCTTAATTAAAATTTTTAATTATAATTTAATTTAGATTTAATAATATAATATTTTTAAAAGATAATAACTAAATATTTTGTTAGAACTATGTGATTATTCTAATTATATTTTAGATTTTTTATATTTAAAATGAGATGTTTATCCAATATTTGATTATGTTTATCTGCAGTTAGTTACACGAATTCAAATATGCACGATTTTCTTGTAATCTTAAATTTTAAGTAATATGCACCAATAAACAGTACTTCATGCATAAAAATGATTTTTAARAGTTTTTGTCAAATATTTTATAATATAATATAGATAAAATGAGGATTTTGGATAATTTTTTGCTTTAATGGATACTCCAAAATAGAGAGATACCGTAAGGTGTTGTTTGTTTTGAAAATGTGATTAACTATGAAGTCTTATTTTACTTCTGATCGATAAGAGGTGGTGCTGAAATCTAAAAGCAKAATCAATAATACTGTTTGTTTTTGTAAACTGATAGATGTCTTAATCTGTATAATTGTCTATTTTACCCTTCAAAATATTACGATATAAAATTTATATAMATTTATACAATTTTATATGTTTATTCATCATCTTTACAAACTTTAAATGTGGACTCGTTTATGGCACAAATTTCGTATTTTAAAAAACTGATGTTAGGAGTGTCAAACCATCCAATTTGACATTTGATTGGATAAGTATCAATAATGATCGATTAAGATTAAATGATGAAGGGGTGAGTGATTGAGAAACGTTCGTTGTTGAGGGTGTGGAAAAGCAATAAGAGACAGATGATGGGTTGGTTTACCTCTTATTAGATAAGTGGACGGTAAGATATAAGTGTATTTGAAAATTTGGAATTCATGTAACTAACTGTGGATAAACATAATCAAATAGAGGATAAACATCT